GGGGAAGGAGTGCCGCTGCCAGCCGGCCTCCGTTGCAGGCCGCGACCCGCGGCGCGGGGAGCAGCACTGGGGCCTGGGCAAGGTTTCTCCGTCCTGGCTAAACAAAGTGGTCGGGGATGGTTTTAACCAGGCCGTGTCTGGGGAAACTCATTTGTCTTACTGAGAAATTCCACCAGTGAGGCTGGGAAAATCATAGGCTAACTGGGACAGCCCCTTAACTGTGCCCAGCGGAGTTACCGGATGGCTACATTTGGAGAGTCCCGTTCACAGGGGAAAATGGCAGAGTTGAGGCTGGTGGTTCTACTTGCATTTCTCTCGACTGCCGGCATTTTCAAGAGTTGGAACTGAAGAGTCTGATACTTGAAAACGGCTCTTAGGAAACTAAAGTACATGGAAAAAAAACCAAACAAAACCAAAACAACAGACCTTCATGAGATTGCTATGTGACTGCCAGCATGGCTATTAAAAAAAAACAACCCAAAACCAGCAACCAAAACCCCCTTCTGACCACAGGGAAGATGTAAACCCAACCACACAGTTCCAAACACATTAAGAAATGCATTCCTCTGTAAGTTGCTCTGCAAGTGCTTGCGTGGCTACATAAAGTTTTAATACGCTGAAGGGGGCACCTTACACTCGCGCGAAGGAGAGCATTGCTATAGGCCTTTACCTCAGCTCCATGCAGGTGCAGGTGTCGTGCTTCTTTTCCCACAGAAATGACCAAAACTACCTTATTGCACGTGGCATTGAATGGAACTTTGAGAAAACTTTTATAATTTCTTCATAAAAGTAATTAAAAGCAGTGAGGCGGTATAACTCATGTCTTGAATTGTTTTGCCCCTGTGAGCCCCACAGTAGTCTTCTAGCTGATTTTGTTAAGAATATAAAAAAACTGACCTTGCCTGAAATGCTCCATTCCCCTACAAAGTTAAATGGAACGTCGCACCCACATCTTGAGGGGACAGTATTCTTCTTTGTATTTTTTCTGGCCAACTGAAAGGTAGGAAGAAAAGGAGAAGTATTTTATTTTCTATTCAATCAACTCTGTTATGAGGAAAAAAGGATTGTTTTTCAGCACTTATAATACAGATGTGTCCAAAACAATATCAGAGAAAGATAAGAAAAGTAGAGAACCCATTTGTAAACATGCTACAGTAGAGCATACCTATGAAAGCATCTGAGAGTACTTTGTTTTGTTCTGAGGTTCTGGTTTCTTTACTTTCGTGTTTGTTTTATTTTAAGTGCTTTATGGCAAGATTATTCAGATAAGACTGACATTCCTGTTCACGAAAATAGAACAGTGTGTTTATTTCCAGCATTAACTGTGTGACCCTTAGCTGTCCCCACAGGCTTGTAATACTTCTTAAATCTGCTTGCCTTACAGTTGTACCAACTTTACTCTTGCTGTTAGAGTGAAACATCATCATTGACAGTATTTTGTCATTTTACATTGAACAAGTAGCTCTTTGAGATCTAAGCACCAGTAATAAATTCAGAAGTACCTCAATGACTTGTAGGGTTAATGGCTACTCTTAAAAGTCATACAGTTTTAAGGCAACTGAAGACAATTGACAGTTGTGTTGCCTTATGCTAAATAATGATAATGCCTTGCTCTTATTTAGCACAACACCAGTCAGTTCCAGTGCTGAGCATCACAGATGAAGTCACTGGGGCCTGGAGAACTGCTCAGATGGCACACCGGACCTGTGTCACTCAGGGAGCGAGAAGGCAGCGCATTCTGCTGCTGTATCCATCTTGCACAGATACATGCAAAACTGAGTTAAAATTTGGTAATTAGCACAGTTGGAGATAGGTGAGTGTTCACACAAATGAAAAGCAGAAGGGGCATAGCAAGAACATAGGCAGTTCTCATGTGCTCCCCTTATACCTGTCTTTCAGTTTGAAATGCATGCCACCTAAACCTGTTGGTTTGAACTAAATTTAAAAAAGGAAAAATTGTGTTTCAAATGGCAATCAGGCTAAAACCTGTATGGAGAGCAGGGCAGAATGAAAGGAAGAAAGTCTCAAGATCCTCTTAACCCCAAGTTGTTAACATATAGCAGTCCCCCTCCCCTTACCTTTTTCCATTAGGTGGTGGGGTTTTTTCATATAAAGATGAGATATATGAATTTAGGATATTCCAAATCAATTCAAACAGACAAACAAAAATAAAAATCTTTTTATTTTTCAAAGGATTTGCAGTGTTTCCCTGAATAACCTGGACCTGTTCTGATCACTGGAAGCTTATTCCAGATCTCGGTTTCCTCAGACTTTAGACTGGACATTGTGATCTGCACTGCTCAAGAGGTAACCAGCTGCCCCAGTTGTCGGTAGACTGAAGTTTGGTCTTTAGCATACCCATGGCCCGATAGATTAACTGCTTTGAATATTGAACTAAAAAGTCTTAATAGGCTCTAGAACCTGACCTGGAGCCAGGACAAAGAGCTTTTATAAGAACATTTAGCGAAGGGTCCAAACTTCATTATCTACCCTACAGAATAACTGGAAGGTCAGGTGTGGAACCACATAATTTCTACAGAAAAATACAAGATTCACAGTGTGGATTTCTACAGCTTATATAATGTGCAGTTGATAAGGTTCATATATCATTAAGGTCTTTCCAATCTTAAAAACAGATCGGTCAAAGCTTCTATGGAAAGTTTTGCTGAAGCAAAACTTAAATATTAATATTTCATAGAAGGGTCTATTATGAAAGCCTTGCTCTTATTTATGCCATTATTTAGTAATCTATCTGCTAGCAGAGGAAGGATAAGTGTTTCAAAGGATCATATGGGACTTCAACATAAATCTTGTTTAAATTAATGATCATTTTACTGTTAAAACTTTTCAAAACAGGGCAGTACAGAAGCCTAAGTGTCCAATTCCCACAGAAAAAGCATACCTTTTCTCTTAGTTATTACCTAGGAAAAATATGGTAAAGAACACAAAACAATTCAGGACTTCTTTCCAAGCAGACAACCTCACCATAAACAACAGTGTTGTAGCACGTGTCACTTGGTGCATTGGTAAGGAATGGTGAGGAAATCATGCATGGTTTCTGCATCTCTGCAAAGTTCATGAACCAAACCCCTTTTTTCCACCCCTGGCATCACCACAACCAAGTAAATGTATACGGTATAAAAGCTCCCCCCCCCTTGTTTAAATTTTTTTTTTATGTAGTCAGAATGTACATATGAGTTTTGGCACTAATGTACAAAATGACAAGAACAGTACCTCCCTTATTTTTTCAGTACTCAAAATCCTAAATCCTAAATGAAAAGGAGATTTGCCAGGGGTTTAGATAAGATAGGAACATCTTCCCACAAGGTGAGGTAGGCAAACGGGATGGAGGGCTACAGTCTGTTCAGGAGGGATGCGGAGGGCAGGTGAGGTGGAAGAGTTGCACTGCACGTAAGGGAGAGGGTTGACTGTCCAGCCCTTGCTGTTAGGGATGATATGGTTGAGAGCCTCTGAGTGAGGATTGAGGGGATGGAAAACAAAGCAGATATCGTTGTGTGTGCCTACTATCCATTGCCCAGCCAAGATACTTGTTGAAGATGGTGACCTGACAAATAGGGATGAAGAAAAAGTGGAGACATTCAATGTGGTTTTTGCCTCAGTCTTTAATAATACTGATAGACTTTGGGCTGTCTGGTCCCTGAGTTGGAGGACCATGGGCATGGAAACTGTGACTTTCCATTTGTTTTGACACTGAAATTGTAAGGGACCAGCTGGTATATGGCCTGCTAAATTGCCTCCCTCGTACTGACCCTCAATCTCACTCTTCAGGAAACAGTGACTGCTTGGGCTGTGTTCATACTGCCATATTATTTGAGGTTTTGCATCCCAAGTGATACAGGCAGGAAGCCTTCTCCTGAACTGTAATTGGAGCCATTACATAGACAGTATTTTGCATTGATTATCCTGTCACAAAGCAAGAGGATAAAATGAGGACGTGACCACGCTCTACAAAGAGCATGACTTTACCAGCCTTGTTATTGCCAGCTTTTGAATCTGAGCATCTGCTTGTCTCTCCTAACTGAAAAGGATGAATTTTAGCCACTATACAAGTCTGAGAGCAATGAAGTGGCATAGTTCGTTATGGGGCTCATTTCTGTGCTTTTCACCTATGTACTGATGCTCTCCTGCATTTGGAAATAAAAAGCCTGACAATTTTTGCTTGTGTCCAATTCAATTAAGAACTCATTAAGCTGTACTTCAAGGTTTGCTAGGTTCCCTTAGACTAATGATTTTACTACTACACGACCTTGTTTCTTCTTCCCCCAGATGCTAGTGGGTGGGGTCTGAATTCGGGATGGCATGTCAACAAAGGATGTTCAGCATTCTGCTTTGAACCTTACCTCTGTGAACATTCTCCAAGTTAAAAATATTAGCAGAAGTAATTAGTACATGAAAAGCATTAAAGTTAATTTGAGTGAGCAGACTAAGTCTTCTAGCAACCTAAACTTACAGCGTGTGAAAAAAATGTTTCTTTTCAAGACATCTCTTGGAAATGCTATTTTTTCTTCATTTATAAGTATTAACTAGTTTAGACACATGAAATCAATGTAAATCAGAGTCTAATGAGCCAATCTACAACTTCTGTGAAAGCAGAGGCTGGCTGCTTAGGAGACCCCAAAGGATGGAAGAGTAGAGAAACTGCTGGGGAAGCTGCACATGCACTCCGTGTTTACCACTGCACCTCCCAGGCTGTTGTGGTCAGCAGACTTGCAACACAACACTCAGCAAACCCACAGCAGAGTCTGAAGGTCCCCAAAGCATGCCTGATGCTATCAGCTAGGCGGCTTCACAGGCAATCAAGAGTACACAGAGTAACTGTCCACAGGGTCTCTGTAGACGATCATCTAATTGGACAGCAAATGCACCACGGAATGCATTGCACTGATGGAGGTTCTTGTTCCTGCTCATGAGCTGTTGTGCAGACATTGCCATTTCACTGCCCTAATGGATTTTACTCCCACATCACTTGCCTGCTCCATCCAGGCCCACCTTGGACTCCTTTGCCCTAAATTCATCCTCATAAAGAAGAGAGCATAAAAAAGCATACAGGTCGATCAGATAAGCTGAAATTATAACTGTCTGAAAGACAAAGCCAAGAACTTCAACAGAAGTATTCAAAAAAACAAAGTGCCCTGCAAGGGCTTAAGTGATTCACTGTTTTAAAAGAGGCCTCCATGTGGATTATAACAAGGATATTTATATTTGGGTTTATACTGGCTCCTTACCTTGAACAGTTCAGGCTTTAACAAAGCAAAAATATATTTTTTAGTCTTAAGCCTTCAAATATAACTCATTTAGGCTACTATGAGGCGCTGGAAGTAGTCTTTCCATTATTTATTTAGATAATTTATTTAGAGTATCTACCTGCAAACTTCAGCATACATTGGAGTGGGAATAGCTTCTCTTTTACCATTCAACCAGCAGTTGACCCCATGACCTCTTTTTCTCCTCATCTCTTTGTTATGAAAGTGAATTTAGAGAAAAGAGACACCAATGTGTAGCTGAACAATTTTCTGTCTCAAAGGGCTTTGAGACATGGGAGGGAGAACCCAGTTTTCTGGACCGACTGTCCAATGACCTGTGGACTGTCCCGTGTTGCCAGCTGGGACACTAGTTGTCTCCCAGAAGATACTGACCTTTCCTTGGCAATTAAAATCGAACCACTGTACAATAAGTAAAAAAATCATTCACTTAAGAGTATTAATCAAAATGTCATTTAATCACATATTCAGTTCACGTGCTTTCTTACAGTTAGCATTACCAATCTGCTCTGGTTAGTTAAAGCATGTATTTAATCCCATAGGGTGCTCTGGTATTAATTATTGACTAAGCCTTAAGTTGCAAACGGCAATATATACATATATGTATACACACACACGTATGTAGCCTATATATTTGGCATTTAGAGCAGAACAACCTGTGAAAATTATGTAGGTTTCTGGTCATTTTACTATGGAAGCAAGTCAAAAGTACCAGACATTAATGCCCCACAAATTATAGGTCTACCTTCTAAATAACCACACTCTTTTAGGGGACAAAAGGTGGATTTCCATAAAGTCATGATCTCTCCCATCTTGTCCATCAGGGAAGGAAGGACAGAAAGGTTCACTTGGCTGAGGCTCTCAGATGAGCTGGCTAAGTTCCATTAAGCACTCTCAGTTAGCCTCTCTAGTTCAAAAATATGTGAAATAAACCAGAAGCCAGGCCTCGAACAACGGGGCAGGATGAGAGGAAACGAAAGATGCAGGAATAAGGGTTCTTACACCGTACAGAACATCAGTTCAATTCCTCTGGAGTATGGCACAACTTTTAATCCAGACTAACACTTACATATAGATCTCACATCAGCTGGGCTTCTACATGATTTTTTTTCTGTGAGACCGAACACGAATCATATCTAACAGTGGACTAGAAAAAGGTTGTTCATTCTGACAGATTCAAGCTATGATTGCATTCCATGGAAAGGACATGTGCTGGAGCAGTTTGTGAAGAACTGCAGCCCATGGGAAGGACCTACATTGGAGTACTCTGTGAAGGACTGTCTCCTGTGGGTGGGACCATACACTGGAGTAGGGGAACAGGGTGAGGAGGAAGGAGTGGCAGGGATGAAGTGTTATGAACTGACCACAACCCCCATTCCCCATCCCCCTGCCCCGCTCGGTGGGGAGGAGGTAGAGGACCTGGGATTGAAGTCGAGCTTGGGAAGACGGGAGGTGGGGGAAAAGGTGGGTTTAGTTTTATTTTTGTTTCTCACTATTGCTATTTTTAATTGGCAATAAATTAAATTAATTTAGAGTCTGTTTTGCCCATGATGATAAGTGGTGAGCGATGTCCCTGTCCTTATCTTGATGACATAAGGAGCTTTTCATCTAGTTTTTCCTCATCTTGCTGAGGCGGGGGAGTGAGACAGCAGCTGGGTGGGCACCTTGCAGCCAGCCAAGGCCAGCACACCACAGAACTATACTGTTCACCCATTTCCAGATGTAAATCTCAAAGACATATTGTACAGTCTTGCAGAGGACATATCTGCAAGTGTCATGCAAAGGATGTTCTCTTTCTACCACTACGATATGGTTTACAGTGCAAATTCCCCAACAGAGGTTTCTCCCCCACACTACATAACCTCATTTTCAACTAAATTAGTTTGTTTTCCTGCGTGACGATCATTCTAGAGTCATCTTGTTATTTACACATGAAAATAAAAGGTTTTAAAAGTAAATAATTCTGAATATGAAATTCAGCCCTGCTGGCAATAGCGTAAGCTCTACAATCACAGTTAAGAGGCAATAAATTATCTTTTGTTGTTTTTTTCCCTGAGATGTGTTCAACTTGAAACCTGACATTTCTAAACCCATGGTCCCTTTTCATCATCTTAGAGAGGCAGTAAATGAGTTTGATTGAAACCCAGCTTAATACATCATGATTCAAGGAAAAGATTTTATTTTAGGGCTAACAAGTTGATAATAAATAAAGGAATATAATAATGTAATAACAGATGTTCTCATGCACTTAACACATACAATAACGCTGGCTTACACTGCTGTTTGGACAAATTGAGAAGAGGTATTTGGCAATATTATAAGTTTGAATAGTTTAGAGATTATAGAACAAGAAATTCTTTCTGCTGTTTTTACATTTCTTTTATACAAATTCAAATAAATATTAATAAATCTATTTTTCCTCAGGTTTTCTGTTCACTTTTGACATGCCCGATAACTAAGCCACAGTAATATACAACTGCCAAGAAAGAGTATTTATGAATTATACTTATTAATATTCCTAGAAATGTATCATATTTATGTCACATTGTGCAAGCTCTTTAGGTAAAATTAGATTTTAGGAAAAACTGCAGAAAATTTAAACTCATTAAAACATATCCAGTGCAAAGGCCAGTCTAGTCCACACATTATGGTACTGTAATGTAAGCCAATATAATTTAAATAATAAAACATGCCTATATGATTCAGAGGAAGCAGAGTATGTTTTACGTTTTAAAGATCTGGCATCTAATATGCAGATTCTGCAATATCAGACATTTTTCAAATCTTCATGAGATGGCAAAATAATGTTAAGACTTTATAAGTAGGCTTTTTTTTATTTTAAGATAACTCACATTAACAGTACTACAGTGGCCAAAAAAGACAAACTATTATAATAGAAATCAATCTGATTAAAAAATTAAATATTCCAATTAACACTGAAAAAGTGTTTGTAATCATTATTTACAATTCATCAATGATACCAGTGTATAACTTCACACAGTCAAAGTATACCACTTTCCAAGCAAATGCCAATTCCTGTATCCCCGTTCCAGCATTCGATAGTAATATGTTGGTTATGCGCAACATATCAGTTTAAAGAAGGAGATCGATCTGTGGTCCAGAGTAATTCTATATATGGCCATTTGGTTTGCAAGCAGCGTTTTACAGGAGTGTCATCGGTCTGTAGCATTGGTTCTTCAAACCCCATAACAACTGCTGTGCCTTCCACATACATGACCTGTCAAAATAAAACAATTTATGTCAGCCTACATTTATTTAAAAACTGGAAGATGAGATTATTATTTTCACCAGGTTAAGAAAGGATTTGTTAGGATTTTTTTTTTAACTACAAAATAAAATCCGTTAAGTTTTATATACTTTTTTTTAATGAAATGAGATAAGAAATCGAAAAAACCCTGATCTCTTAGACTAAAGTGCCTGAAAATCCCAATCAGGCCATATTTATTTGACTGTTTACTTCAATAGACAGTAAAGGCCAAAACCGGGGGGGTTGGGGTGGGAAATCTAGGAAAAGCAATGCAAAAATTCTGTGACAACAGATCTACTATTGTTGCAGTTGCAAAGTTTGATATTGTTATTTTATAAGCCTGTGTTCCTTAGACTTAAATTCATGGAATTAATTTTCCATAAAATGGAACTTCTGTTGCAAATCAGCTCTATTTATAAAACAATCTTTAAAATGCCATAAGTAGAATCCTCTGAAAACAAAGATTTATTTACATTTTCTTGATTATGTATATATGTTCAATAGTAAAGACAAATGCATCTTTGAATGCCTTTGCTTACATTTTGGGGTATGAAACTGGGTAATTTTAAGGACTTAAACAGTCTGAAGTTCTGAAGACTGAGTATATACATTTTCTCAAAGAGTCTTCTTACTTTAAGTCCTTTTTGTTCCCTATGTCTATTAATGCCTTTTACTCTTCCACCCTAAATGCTAATTCAGGAACTAACTTAGAAGCATTCATGGTGTGTCACGTACACCCCTTCTTCCAAGAAAACTGAAAATGAAACAGGTCATTTTGGTCACCCACTAAGTGGTTCCAAAAAATACTGTTTTTTGATGCAAGTCTGGAGTACTGAAATAGTTCACAAAAAATTCGTAACAACTCAATTTAGATGTAAGGTTACTTAGAGAAGTTGTAGTTTGTCTGTGTTACATCTCCATTGTCCTTCACATTTCAGATCCCACTTCTCATGGATAAGCATGAGAAATGCTCTATTCAAAACACATAGCTTAAGAGTTGTGGTCTAGCCAACCAATACGCTATACTAGCTAAAATACAATCAGGAGCACAAAGTTTCCAATTCCAAATATATCATTTTGGAAGACAATTATCGAAATAACAGTTTTGTAAAAAGTCTGTTTCAAGTTAAAGTATTTTATCTGTAACTATAGTCAGTTTTGCACACTAATTGATATTAGGGCTAGATTTTTGTTTCTTAAATCTTACCTTTTCATTATAGTTCGATTGCTTCAGTCCATTGTAATGGTAAACAGTGAACGACTCTGAAACCCTAGAGTCCTAGTAGAAAGAAGACAGTTAATTTCATGTGACATATATGTCGTGCCTTGCAGTCTCTTCTCTTCACGATTAGACAGATGCATTTAAACAGGAAGACTCAAGGAAATAGTAAAAAAGTACAATTTCTTTTAGGTGACATCATCTTGTAGATTTTGTTCATTTTACCTTTCTCACCAAAAGTAAAAAAAGATCAGTAATTTAATGGGTAACGCCCCCAAGAGTGAGTCACTATTTTCTGTGTTCATCTGGACACTAAACTACAACTTCAGCACTGACCATGTAGAAGCTGTCCTAATTTTTAAAGTCAGACACCTCACGTAGGAGCCACATTTGCGTGGATTTATGACTGTTTGGATGCTATGAAGTTAAATATTTACTAATGACCAGACTCAATCTCCAACCCTCCATTTGAGAGCTAAAAAGTGATTTATGCCCACTCCTGCCTAACAGTGTAACTAATTGTGAGGACACCTGTTGAGCTGAGGCCTAACAGCAGATGTACTGCTGTTGTGAACCTCTACCATGGCAGGTGTTTAAATGCTTTAGTCCTGAAAGGACTGAAAAGCTTTGCATTTCACTGAATCAGGAAACACAAATCAGGTGTAATATCATCTCTTTTATTCCTACTGGACCAGGCTCCAAACAAAGACTTATCCCTTTTTTAAGTACATGGAGGTAAAGGCTGGAATGAGGAGAAATCTGCTCAGGTTACAGTACATCCATCAGATTACAAAAAGCCCTTATTCATTTTTTTCCTCTTAAATGATTCAAAAACCTTATCTCTGTATAGGTCTCTCGCAGCAACCCAGGCTATTCAGTGGAGGAAGGGTGGTGAGCAGGAAGGTAAGTGGTAACTACTTACAGAGGTTGCTTCACAGAGGTGAATAAAATCAAGCTTTGCTGGGAAGGAGAGGGCAGTTATTCTTTTCCCTGAGGAAGAAGGCTGGCCCTGAAGGAAAAGACGTGCTGCTTTCCAGTTCCCATCCCATGGATGTTAAAAATTTTCTGTGGTAATTGTTTCCCCAAAAAAGAGTTACCAGGGAATTCAGGAATTGTCCTCTCCAGGTGACTGCCCGAAGCACTAAAGAGCCAGGCTCTCTCAGGCTGAATGATCTTTGAATATTTTTCTTCTAAGCCAAGCTTTGAAAAGGAAAGCTGAGATCCCTTCCTGCTTTTGAGGTGGAGTTTAGTACTTTCTGTGAGAGCAAGAATGGGGTTTTGAATATTCTCAGCAAAGAAAGAATCAAATCTGGATCTCCTGAGCACTAGTTACATGTTCAAATATTGTATAAAGGGGAACATCAACAATTCCAACCATCACTGGCATCTGCTATTTCCTCACAGTATTTTAAAGCAAGACATTCTGCAGAATTTCACTTTCAGAAAGAATTCTGAACGAGGTGTCAGTATGGGTAAGGGCTCCTGCTATCTGATCCACAGAGCACAGACAGATTGGACAACATATCCGTGCCCTCAGCCTTCATTCAGTAACTGATACTGGCAGGTCCCAGTCCAAAATGCGCTGATTGTTCAGATTGCACCCTTAAGGCACTAACACCCATGTTTTGTACTGGAGCCAGGGAAGGTTCAACAGCACAGGCAAAACTGAGTGGTGGGGAATCACGTGCAGCAGGGAATTAGTACTTGACAGACAGGCACTGACTTGGGGCTCCAACTTTACAGCAGATAAAGAGTTCCTCCACCAACTCTCTAGGTGACTGAGGTGGGGATCTGCCCATGATTCCACGACGCTCCCTTCTCCAGCTGCCCTTCTTCAGTCAGTGATGCCCTTCAGCCATAGGCAACAGAGGCAGCAGACCCATACTATGGTCTGCAGTACTGGACAGTTTAGGCACAGCCAATTATGGAGGATGTGCTTTGGCTTTCTGAACTTCATTCTAAGCATCTGGGCCCTAAAATTAAGCAGTGGAGTCTTCCAGATTTGCAAGTATAATATAATTGTAAGAAATAAGATTATATTATATTCAATTGTAAAGATATTTCCACTTTAGGATATACAAAATGAAAGAAGCAGCAGTTGGCAAATACACAACACAGATGTAATTCTGTAGATCTGGAGAAAATGAACACTCTAACTCCTTTTTCCTCTAGATGATGAATCATCTCTTAATGATGTATTCAGTCCCTACCATCTTTGGCAGTGCAGTTCTAGTGTCTTCTGAATGACCACATTGTTTCACAGTACAGAAGACTACAGCCAAACAGTGCTGCACAACCCTTAACAAAAAGAGTTGCTGAAGGCAATTTAAAAATATTAGTTTCACATTTCCTTGGTTTTAAAAATTAAGCCATGTAGTTTCAATGACATGTTAAGCCACAAAAGCCTCCAAAGAAGTGCTCATCTCAGCTCTTCTCTTGCCTCACCAGCCCATCTCTCTGTCACTAGGGAAACCCTCTCTCTTCTGCCAATACAAGCATTTGCATGGGCATGGAACAAACCTCCAGAAACCTGCAAAGAGAGCTCTCATCCAGACCAGTTCCCTGTTGTGGTTTACCACATATCTGTACAAGGAGATTCCTGGTGGCAGGAGGGAGGCAGCATGCAGGCAGGAAAACACGACCCAGGGCAAAGGGAGAAGAGGACAGCAGCGCTAGGCTAACACACGCTTCTCAGTGGTGGTGTGATCTTAAAGATTATTTGGAACAGATTGAGTGTTTTGAAAATAATTTTCCATTACCCTGGCAGATACTGACTTTCGTATAGGCTAAACATAGCTCTATCATGACTTTTTGTTAAACTGTCAAAAATTTTACATTATGAGAGATATACATAAAAATAGTTTTAAATATGTTTGTAACCTTTTCCCATTTGCTAGCAATTACAGCAGACATTTGTGCTATTGATAAAAACAGCATGGTCATTTATTCTCAGAGAAACTAAACTCAGATGAACTTTCTGAGTAGTGAACCAGTTCAATTTCATATGCAAAATATATTTCCTGAGGTTAATTTTAGAACTTGTCGCTATAATGGAGTTTCCTTCCAGTGCAAAGCTAAACAAAGTCATGGACACCTTATGCAGAATCATAGAATCATAGAATGGTTGAGGTTGGAAAGGACCTTAAAGATCATCGAGTTCCAACCTCCCTCCCTGGGCAGGGACACCTCCCACTAGACCAGGTTGCCCAAGGCCACGTCCAGAATGGAAGTCTGCAGTTTGTTGTGTAATACAAGAAGTTATTTGCTGGTCAGCTGTGTCAAATGAATGCAATACTTATTATTAAAAATAGCTCTGTGATACCTATGGAAATGTTTAATGAATCTCAAAGACAAGCAGAATAGACAATGCTCTGCAGCAATAAAGCTATATTGATTACCTGCTCAGGGAAAAATTCTTGCAGAAAGGGACCCAGTAATATGATGCCCAGTCCTTCTGGGTCTAATTTGGTCTTCATGAGGTTTACACTATGACAAAAACATTGAATACAAAAGTATGAGTAAGACATTTTTATTCTTGCATGACTAAATTATGCTGTGCTACCACAGTCTTGGCTGCCAAGTATAGCAATACTATTCTATTTTTAACCGTAAGTGACAACTGCACCAGAATGGCATGCAAGTTGCCAAAACACGGTTATTTTTAAATTAAAGTAATCTGTTATTTTAAATTAAATAAGTGATAATTCTGAAGGACCACCATATTTGGTAAAATAATTCAAAACTCATATAATCTAAAACCAGGTTTACAGCCCAAAAGGCGTTTTGCTGTCTTGTAAGCATTCTTGAACATAAACCAGTCGTCTTTTAAATACAGCTCCATAACTGCCAAACAACCTGTTTTTAAATGGAGATTTGAAAAGCCTCCAAGATTTTCTAAGCAAGCTGAAATAAAATTAAGTTTAACAGATACATCTTATTTACAACACATCCTTGATATGAAAGAAGCCAAACCCAATAAATAATGAAAATATTAACAATACTAATCTGAAAGTCTTACTGCATGAATATGGTACAATTTCAAGTTGCTACAAATGAATGCCAATTGTAACTTTATACTTCTATTTAAGCAATATATTTCTACAGGCATCAGATTGCTTAAACATTTATTTGCATCTACCTATCCTTTTGCCTACGTTACAAGTTGTACCGTACACAAGAATGTCCTCATTGCGTCAAACCGAGAGAGTGTCTTGCCCAGTATCCTGTTTCTGACATTGGTCAGTAGCAGATGCTTATGATGGAGTACAACAGGGCAAACAGACAGTGATAGCCTTAGTTTACCCTCCCCATTTCCAGCAGTCTGCTGCTCAAAGACATCTTCAGTGAGAGGCAGTGTCTAAAACACAAAGATACATATTTTTTCTTTCCATGCATGTACCTAATTGGCTCTGAACCCATACACACTTGTGGCATTTAATAAACTCCACTCACAAAATTAAAATTAAACTATGGATTCTGGGAATAAGTATCTCCTATTTTGCACGTGTTACCTGATAACTCCGTTTGATGACAACTCATTTTTTGTATTGCGAGAAGCAATTAACAATCATTCCCTATTTATTATGAAACTCCAGATTTCAGAGACCTCTCTTACATGCCAATGGTTGTCTCTCTTTTCCAGGTTGAACAGCCCTAACCTACTTCTTTGCTGTACTAATGCCATTCTGTACCTTTGATTAGCCTTCTTGCCTTCCTGATACCTTTCTACAATGTTCTTTTTTAAGATGGAGTGAAATGTCATGCATTTATACAATGGCATAATTCCTAGATATCCCACTCCATATGTTTGCTTATCACTGAGTATCAGTTTAAATCTAAGATCTGTTTCCTGAATGGTAATATCTAGTTCACAGCCCAACAATGTGTATGTAAAATCAGGATTGTTTCATCCCATGTGCAGTCTATCTACATTTACTGTATTGAGACTTCACTGTTACCCTGTCTTCCAGTAACTTCTGATGCTCTTCCACACCATTTTTTTAATGTCTCGAATACTTTTGTATCAGCAGATAACTATCATATTAATCCCTACCTTCAAATCACCAGTGCCACAACAAACTTCACACCCTTAGCACAAATTCCTGTAAAATTCCTCTAATGATCTCCCTCCATTAAGAAAAGATGACATTTTTACCCTTTCATCAGTTATTTATCTACAAGGAAACCTTCCTTCTTATCCCATGTTTACACATGAAACATTTACAGGTGAATTTTCCTCCGACGGGCCTTCAAATCCCTTTCTAAGTACTGCTGTCCATTTGTCACCTTCTCATTCTAGTACTGTCTGGTACCAGGACAGTTTACAGTGGTACGTAACCTGAATTAGTTCAGCAATTTCATTCTGATGTTTCTTCAGAATTTTGGGGTTTTTACTTATCTTGACACTTCAGACTCTTACTTACTCTGACCACCCACAAAAAGGCTTAAGTTTGGAAACGTCCCTGTAATCTCCCCCAGTGAAAAATACTTTTTAGTATTGGGGATCACCTGTCAGAACTACAGACCTCTTGCAAGTCTCCCTGTTCTCATGGGCTTAAAAAAATACTATTAACTTTTATTTTCTGACTTTGCAGCTTAGTTGCCAGAAGACTTTAACACCGCTTTATTTTGTATTTACATTTGACATTCCATAAATGTAGATTCTTTCCTATTTTTTTACGTAGGTATCACAGTCTCCTTTTAGAAGACAGTCTCAGCTTCTCACAGCTGCCTCTTTTACCACCCAGGCTTTTAACAGCCTAGGTCTCTTCTGTTGGGGGCTGCAGGCAGGTGTCTTTCTAAGCTCTTTTTGATTATTGTTGCATGTAAGCTTTTCATCCTTTTGGCTATCACTTAACCATCTTCACTTTTAAGTAGGTTCCTTTCTTGGTCCCAACATAGTACTAGTAGTAAATTATTTGGCTTCTTTTTGTTTCTGCCTGAGTACACACAGAATACATTATGCATTTCTTAAGAGAGTGGCTCTGTTAAGGCCCTTGGAAGAGGAATTTTAAAAATTCATGAAAGTGAATGTGGTATCCTATAAACTATGTTAATTTAATATCTAAAAAAAATATTTTCACAACTCAAGTGAAACTACAACTGAGGATTTGCAAGACACTGGACTTTAATCCTTCTATTGCTCATTCTTACTGCTCTCAAAGTACAAAATTTCAGATATCTCCGTAGCTGCCTGAAATCTGCTCAAAGTCTTAAAATGCTATAAGAGAGTTCTAAAACCAGTGTTTGTAAATAGAACTAAGGCAGATTTAAGTAAGGATCATTTTGAAAATGCACTTAAAATTATGTAATAAAATTAAAGCAAGCTATATACTCACTAAGGAAATAAAGACTGCTTAGAAATGCAAAGCCATACTAAGATTTTAAGTATGGGCAGCGTACAAAATTAAATCAATTAATCAGGAGGGGAGATTTAATAAAATTTGATTGCTGTATGTTTCAGCTGAGGCTAACGTCATTCAGTGTTACTGGTGCTACACTAGAGCTACCAAAACAAGTGTGTGTATGTGTTTCAGTCACTTCAGTGTGCAGTCTAGCGTCTTAACTGAAGAGGTTATGAATGTTGGAGTGATGATACTGATGGCCTTTTTACTGTTACAGCTGAGAAGTTTGTGGGGACAAAAGCCTTCAGCACTGGTCAAACAGACAGATAGGATAAAATATTTTTAAAAAGCTAAATCTAGATTGATAGATGTACTCAAACTGGTGCCCTGAAGACCATCAGATGGTTTTCAGAAACAAACAGACAAAACAAATAAGAGAGCTGGGTTCTTAGATGTATTTAATAAAAGACTAGAAAATTTTACTAAAATCACATGCAATGGTGTGGGAATGTATTTAACAGAAAATGGACATATTTTGAACGAGCCATACAAGCAGGTGGCCTGACTGTAGATCTCGGCCTTGAAGTGACCTTGAGGAGAGAAAAACAGAAACGACAATGGATGCTTCACAGCAAATTGAGGAATCGAGACAAGAAGAGCCGGACGAGGAGTCAGATAAACAGGACGCTGAATAACCAATCAAAGATGAGACAGCTTCGCATGCCTTCCTCATGCAGAGGGCTATTAACCAATCAACTAATGCGTGAATGCGTGTAGAGAAAGATAGATTGTATATAAGGGACAGTGGTAAATCAATAAAGTGGCTTCTGTATGATTCACATTGGATCGTGTGGAGTCCAGTTTCTCTCCTCACAATGGCATTCCATACTGGAATGGCTAACCCACCTTGTTAATTCATGCCCGCTCTACAAAGTTTTCCCCTCTGTAATTCTTAAACTCTGGTTTAAGCAGGTCTGACCATTATTCATCTTGAGACTCGGAGAAGCTTAAAGCTTTGGATTAAATGACCACAAAGAATTTCCATTTAGTTCTTGAACTAAAAAATGTAAATAGTACACTTGGAAGCAATGCCTTTAATTGTACTTAAAAACAAACAAATAAACAAAAAACAACCAGAAAAGCCTATGTGGAATTTGAAATGTGTTATATATACACTTGTGTTCCACTTTAAGTAGAGAGGACATCTAGAAGCAAAACAGAGTGGGTCCTCAAGACCTACTAATATTAGACAAAATGTGTATTTAAGAGATGTTTCAAGACTGAATATGCCATGGTTTGATCATGGCTTTTCAATATAGCAGGCCTTCTGACTGGCTCTTCCTACATCAATTTATATTCGATGTGCTACACACAGTAAAATAGGTCAGGGCTATGCCACAAACACCCTGAAGGCCCAACAGCCAGACTGAAAAACTGCTGAATGCAGAGAGAGGATTTCTGCAGATTTATTGAGGCAGCAGAACAAAAAGGCCAAAAGAAAGCCTCTCAGACCTATTAAACTAAGTGTTGTCCCGTCATGCGTCGCCCCCCCCGCCATTAAAAAAAGTTTGCAGATTTCACCATTTGTTGACATGATATGAATGCTGGCCTTTTTGTCTTGTATTTTCTTTGGTTTTAGCGTCCTGGGTGTCTTTTGATTTCAATTTTCACTCCTATTCTCCACAGAGACCAGCTCAGTAAACCTTGTACTTTCTAACATTTGAAAGGACAGAAAATTGCAACAATCGAATTTCAGATGGCTGTGGTAAGTAAACTTGCAGTCTCCACAGCCATTCTACAGGAAGAACTGATTTAGACCCCAATAAACCGGACCATATGCTTACGAAAGAGCAGAACCATCTTTCGGAGATGTAAAAAAGTTCAAGCACACAGCTCTCCTTTCTGGGTTAAGCATTTAGTGGCAAAATGTGGGAAGCTTTGACATCAAAGTTTAACTGCTGCCACTGAATATTAGTCCTGTCTGTCCACATGAGATCTAAAATAAACTGCCTTTTTCATTTGATAGTTTTAACTCTAATCCCAGGAATCGAGGTGTCAGTCCTGGAAACAAATGACAATTTTAAACACTACAAGGTACTGAGTATTGGTGGAAACAGAAGTGTAACTGAAGCAGTATGAGCTTCCAACTCTGTGGATAGATCCAGTGGTAATCCAGTGCTAACCTGCCTCTGGGTACCTTGGTTATTTGGCTCTTTTGTCACACAGTTTCACCCTCATTAACATACAGAAATATATGCATGACTATCTCCTCAATATATAGTAATGTAGTAAGTTTGAGGGGTTTTTTGGCTTCTAGTTATCACTTCCTCCCATTTAATTTAAAGTTCACTTAAACACTTCAAAATAACATTCTGTGACCAGAATGCAAGCTAGAGAAAATCCAGAAAAAAATCCCTAAATTATAATCGGTATATGGTTAATTGTTACTTCTGTAGTACTTAAATTTTATTATACTTACTATTCAGGATCTGAAACAAGGTCCAGAGCCTTCATTACATCTTCTAGCAGAGTGTCAGGTATAAAACCATTATCTGAAGAAGTAGCAAAGCTTCTCATTAGGAAAAGAAACAAAATGCTTTCTAGGAGTACAAATTTTATTAAAAAATAGAAATACTGCATATCTTTATCTCTAAAATTTGCAAACAAATGGTGGGGTTCTAGAAGGAACATAGTTTTCAAACGCTTCTCTCCCACTTGAAAAAAAATGAAGGGTGCAATGCAGAAACTGCAGGTTTAACATTCACACATGTAGAAGTTATTACTTGCTAGGAATTCAATCTCTTTAGAGCAATCTCCATTTGATACCATGGGATAATAACTGTACATTTTTTCCCTTTTGATTAGCTAAAATAATGCCTGAATATTAGACATCCTTTGTTTTCCAAAACACGAAAATTTTCAGTGCATGCCACATACATTCAAGAACAAAATTTCACAAAGAATGCAATCACAGCAGATCAGTTATTTTATGAAAATGTAATATATGAGAAATCAAATTATATTTAAGCTTTATGTTAATTACAAACAACATTACAAGGTTAAAAAGCTTACGCTCCAAGAACTCTGCCTCCTATTGCACGATGTTGTACTCAACTTCCCTTACAGCAGAATTCTCAGAAGATTCGTTAATGTCATTTGTAGATTGACTACTGTACTGAAAATTTCTCAAGTACTAAGTATTTCACTCCTCTCTTAACCAGCTCAGATGCAAACAGTATATTACCCTGACATGGAAAGGACAATGGATTTCAAAGTGTAGTATTTGGAACAAATTTTGGAAAATTATGATCCCATTTTTGAAGAGGCACCCTACAGAATGCAGTATTCATTACTATTCGCAAATTGTCTCTACCGAATGAGTACATTCCTATTATAAAATCTTATTTCAGCAAGAAGTACAGCCCTTACCCTCAGGGTCATATGTTTGGAAAACCCTTCTAGCTTGTTCTGAAGGTGCTTCAGGAGCAACAAGGGCCATATCCTGAGGAAAAAAAAAAGAAAAGAAAAGAAAATTTTCAGAATATTCTTAACTCAGATGCAGATTAATAAGGAAATACTTAGCCATACTACACAGGTTTGGACCTTAAATTAATAAAAATTTAAATATAACAGAAGAAAAATTATGGCAACTTGGCAATATTGCTGATAGCTATGTAAAATGATCAAGAAATATGTTAAGGATTATTAAATAAACTTCTAGACAAATTTTACATAAGTCTTTTCACGAAGATACTGTGGCACAAAAGCTACTTGGAGACTACATGTTATGTGGAGATCTAGATTTATAGTCTCATTCTTTATATCTCAAAACACATACACGTGTGCCTGTGAAATTTAGTGAGTGTACTATGCGTACATTGAGCCATTTAAAAATCATTTAGATAAAAAGCTGTATGAGAATGTTTTCAAGTCCATTTCACAGAATGGCAGAACACAAATTTGTTAGCTGCATCAAAAAGTATGATTTCAGTAGTAGCTACTGTAATGCTTTTATTTATCTGTGACTTTTAAAATCTCAAATACAATCATGCTTTCTAAAACACATGTGGAGAGGCACATGCCTATCTCCTATTGTAAAACCAGTAAACAGCATATCCCTTTGGTTTTATGCCAAAAAAATATTATTAAAAAAGTGACATTTAGAAGTTACTCATGAGAAATGAAAGGTAGCATAAAGAGTAAGAAATGCACCTATTCAAGACACCCTTTAGTTTAAAGAGATACAAAGATTTGACGTTCAAATAGAACAAGAAACTCCATGAAAGAACATGAAAATAGAGCTCATAAACCTGCTTGCTAGGAGTACTTAAATCCTACATCTCCTCTTGCAAATTTACAATCACCTATGTTGTTTTGCACATAGAAAGGGAAATGAAAAACTTGCTCAGAGGGAAACACTGCATTTGACAATATCCCCTCTATAGTTTTTCTTCCTGTCAAAGTGAAAATGTAATGTTACCTGCTATGCTATGAACAGTAAACACAAAACCCCAGAAAAAGCAGCATTGACATTACTCCGAATAACATTAAACCTGGGAAACTTGCTTTTGTTCATATTGTATTAAGTAAATTGATTTGTTACAAATCAAGAAGTTACCTTAAACTGTTTCATAAAGTATACATAATCTTTTTCCTTTTTATTTCCAGTTCAGCTCAACTTTGCTTTCTGAAGATGACTTAAGATTTTCTTGAAAGAGAAAATCATGGCAACATCCTCTCATTATACCTGTATGTCCTAACAGTGAACTTTGGTCTAAACTGTGCAAGTCTGTAGTACTTCATTTGAAGGAAGACACAGAAAAGAAATCTGAAAATGTAGAATTAAAAGATGCATAATGACCTACTGTTCTTTTAACAGATTAAGAGAACTGCTTCCGGAAAAGAAAAGCAGCAAATCATACATTTGACCAGAATTCCACTCTTATCCAGTTTCTTCTAATAGCTGACTTCAAATCAGTCAAGAATTTTAAGTATACACCTAATGGCATCCAGCAAAACTTTCCAGAATGAAAGCCAACTGCGTAGGACACACCAACAGGGATAACAGGGAACACAACATACACTTAAAAATAACAGGCAACAGTTTTACTTTGAACAGATGAATGATACAGCTATTACTGGCATAAGATGCGTACAATGGGGGTTACAGAGCTCCCCTCATTTTCATGTACAGGAGAGAAAAAAGTTTGGTCTTATACAGGATTATATTAGACAAAAAGTTAGGAAACAACTGCCCTGTCTTCCAAGGCTCCAGATCACCAGCCCATTACATACTTTCACTCCTAAGGGCTACTCCATTGCCACTTGAGCACAATGCCAACATCTACATCACCGAGCAATGCAGTGCACGGAGGGAAGGATCGGGGTTCAATCTGCTGTGATGTATGAATGGGTATCCACATCGCATCTTTACTGGCAATGAAGTTTGTGCCAAATGTCAGTCCTAGAAGCACACTATGCAGAAGCAGAGCCAGTTGCTGTAAGCCCTTGCGTCCACACTGCAGGTGAGGCACTCTGAAAGGCTTCTCAGTGTGCAACTTCAAGTGTTGGCTCCACCAGGACAGAAACAGCTTTCAGCACATCTGTAGGACACTTAGTTGCATGCAGCAGGATTCCAAGGCTAGACGCAATGCAAATTTGCACCAAAAAGCAGCTCTCCAACATGCTAAACCACTAATATAGATGGATATGGTGAATCATGTCTGCCAGAATTCTTCTAGTTCATGAGACGTGATAGACTTATCAGGACTAAATTACTTCTGGCTCCAGCTTACTGCCTCTCTTGCAGCACAAGTACCACCTTTCACTGTGACAGGACTGCAGAGCCCATCTTCAGGTCAGAAGCAGGTTTGCCTGCAGATAACCCAGAACTCTCCGCCTCCCGCACCATGTGACTTCTCCAATCAACCTGTCCCCGAGTACTCCAAGTGATAAAGTGTACAGAAGAAACTAAATTGGGAGAAGTCCCTTTGTCCTTCTAGTTGGTGCAAGTGAGAACAACTTGTAAATTGCTTGCTTAATATACTGGAAATATAAACCCCAAATTTTTATATTAATTCACTATCATAATAATGTAATTTTAAGGATCCATAAATATGACTAATTTGGAACAAACCCACTATTTGATGAAAAATGTTCCAGTGATTTTATAAATGAACAATAACTATAACACTTACAGCAAATCAATACCTTAACAGTGTAGCTTCAAGTTTAAAAAAAAAGTTTAGAACATGCATAAAGTACTTTGTAGATAAAGAGACCATACTGTAAAGTTTAGAACATGCATAAAGTACTTTATACTTTTCATACATATACTTTACATACATATACTTTACATACTTTATACATACTGCTTTAATAGCATCTACAGCTCAACACGATTAGTTTAATGACGCCAAATGATGTATGAGGTTGCGCAGTTGCTAAGTATATAACTCTTACAATGGGTAAGGCTTATGTGCCTATTTGATTGACGCTGCAAAATTTGGTAATAATTGATGAATTCTTAAATAATTTTGAATACTCCAGAATTAGAAAAGTTTCATTTTGGGGGTCAGTATATATAAAGTAGGAGTAGATTTCACTATCAGTGAATTACAGCACACTATGACAATTCATTCTCAGTTTAAAATAGATGATG